GTGGCCGCCGGGCAGCGGGCGGGCGGGCGAGGCGAGCTGGAGCTGCTGCAGCTCAGGGCCTCCCGCTCGGCTCTGCTTGCTGGGCTGCGCAGGTGAAACGGTGACCCAAAGTATTTGTGTCATTAGTCCAGCCTATGGACTTGCTGTCTGAATCAGCCATGAGCCCTTATAGGACAGAAAAATTAAGAAGTGGCGTATGGGAGAAGAGGGAATTGGAGATGTGAGAAGAAGAGGAAGGACAGGGAAAGGGGGGAGAGAGGAATAAGCAGGGAAAAGAGACTGAGAATAAAGGAGAGACAGGCAGAGACGGGTAGTAAAGCGGAGGGAGTCAAGGAGGGCTGTAGGAAAGTCAACAGCTTAGAGAAGGGGGGGGAGGATGAAAGGAGAGGTACACAAAAAGAGCTTTGGAATGAGCTAGAAAGAGAAAGGGGGAGCAGGAGCGGGGGAGGGGAATGAGAAAGAGCCACAGGCGAGAGCCAGAGGCGTGGAGAGCTTGCCCCTGGCTTGGAGTCCTGAAGGGCCGGCAGAGGGATCTAAGACAGCTCGCAGGCACCTGAGTGCAGCTTCATAAAGGTGGGCTCACTGAACACAGAGCCAACCCAAGAACTCGGGGCTGGGAGAAAAGGCCTGCAAAGAGATGGCCAACAAATCCCACGGGAGAAGAGCAACTACAAATGCCCCTGCAATCAGCTGACAAATGGGATTTTGAATTTGGTAAAGCTGAGACCCCTGTGGTGCTACACATTGTACCAGAGCATGAAAAATAGCACCAGGGACACGATCTGGCACTTTTCCGAAAGGGCCCAGCGTGTGAAGGTGACATTGCGCCCCCAGCAAGCCTTCAGATCGGAGAGAGCTCCGGACAAAGTTTGCAGTGTTAGCACCAGTCTGGCCCCAGTCTCCAAGTGCATTTGCACCAGATGTAATCTGGGTAACTCTCCTGTCATTTCCATACCAGTCGTCAGGTTTGCTGCAAAATACACCGGGTCACTGGAGCCATGGAGACCTCAACATTGGGAAGCGCAAGACAACACAACAAATGGAGGTGTAAATTCTATAGGAAAAGATCCTCTCACCAATTTGCTTGGTGATTCTTCAAGCAAATATATATGTATATATATATTTATATAAATCTACATAAAAAAATCAGTGCAAATGCCAATTCTAATCTGAAAGCATCTACACTAGGAAAATAAATAATTATATTACTACAAAACCAAGGGTTGGTGGTTCAATTTGATTGTACTCAGCCACAACAATACTTAATATTAAATGAAAAGCACATCACACGACCCGCGGAAACATCTACTCGTTAATGACAGTCCTTTAAGTAAATGGTTGCATGCTCAGTTGAGAAACCAAAGAAGTTATCATGGTGGCCTAAAGATAGAGCTGGGATCAGGAATGGCATTCTGGTGGCAGAAAAGTTCTGGGAGCAATATTGATGAAAGTAGACCTTGACCTGAAACTGGCGAATGGCAAATGTGATCCGTGTCTTTAACATTTTGAGCAATCTAAAGAAGTTTCCAGAAATTTAACTTTCATCAGAGGGGAAAATATACTGCCAGCCCTTTCATTGGCAAAGGCAGCCTCAAGACTATAGGTAGATGCATCATTTTGCTTTTTTTGTGTTTGTTTTGGTGACTGCGGCCAGACAGAGAGTGGTATTTAGTGTAAGATGAACACTGCCTGCTTTTGGAAAGAGACTCTCATTCTGAGCTGCGATGTTCTTATTATGAAGAAGCCCCATCACTGCAGATGACTCTCTCTCTTGCTCTCCACCCCAGCCTGCATGCTGGTTTGCTGCACAGTGTGGCAGAATCCCTGCCAGGTCTGGATGTACCCCAGAAATAAGGCGATGGGGCTTAGTCTGGGCCTGCATAGAACCCAGAGTTGAGTGGTTATTGAGATCACAGGAAAGTCTCTTTCTAAACACCTTGGGCACAAGCAAAGTTAATGTCACCATCAGCTCTAAGGTAGGATATAGGCTTCAGGAGGGATGATTTTTGTTTTTAATCATCATTATTATAATTTCTAAAAAATAAACTTGGTCCAGGTGCCACCCTCAAGAAAGGCAGTTTAGTTGATTGAGCTCAAAGTCATTAATTGTCTTTCCTTATGGTTCTATCTCTGCCTTGTACACAGAAACAAATCTGCACCTCTCACCCCCAACCAGGTAATCCCCTTCTCTCTCTCTCTTCCTCAAAGAAATAGTGCATCTTGGAACAGATCTCTCCATGACTCTATACCATCTCCGGCTGTTATAAAACTTCAATTACTTGTAAAACAGACAAAAGAAAAAAAAAGTCCTAATTACTCGTGGTTCGCCAAAATACTAAATGATCCTTTAAGAATTGTATATAAGTAACTAGGAACAAAGTCATTCAGCTATTTGCATGGCAGGCCCAGGTTGTGTAACAAGAGAAAAGCCAAAAACTTCCCCTTTAGCTTGTTTGCATGAGTTGGTCTCTGAAAGCCATCAGCTTAAAAATGCATTAACCAAATGTCTTCCAAAAATATCCAAGAGGACAACTCATTAAGGGATGTGCTCCATGAAAGTGTATCACTAATAGGGAAGGGAGGTCATGAGAGGTAAGTGGGGAGAAGCCTGTGTCAGACTTTGAAGGAACTCAGATGCTCTTAGTGGATCATTGGCAACAGAAGGGAGAGTGCAACTTACAGTTCTTGAATTTGATGGTCGGCAGACAGTGCATACAGTTACTCTTTCCATTAGTTAGTCTTTACAAAATATTTCACAAAACTTTTTTAACCTATAGAAATTTGTTTCTATACATTTAATATATTTTTTATTGTATAAATTATTCTCTTTAGTGCCTTCTTTCACTTTATAAATGGCAAAATAGACAATAAACAATCATAAAGCTAACCTCAGGTGGAATCCCCTCTTCCCAGTAAGGTCAGTCCTCCACACACTCAGGAATTTTATAAAATGCTCGTCTTTGTAGGTGCCAGTCAAAGAAACTACACGCATATCCTTCCCTGATATTATGCCGTCTCCAAAGGGACTCCTTTCTTTCTTTTTTTTTCCTTCTTTCTTTCTTTTGCTTGTTAAGAAATCAAAGGATGTGCATAGTTATAAAATTCAAAGTGGACCAATTACAGATGTGGGTAATGGGAAGGTTGGTGAAGTTCAAGTGCTGGCAACTTTTCTTTAAAGCAAAAAACACAGAGAGCTCAGCAGCTAAGTCAGCTCTGGCCATCTGCTGGGTGAGGAGGCTGCCCGGCTCGGGCACCAAGCCCGTCAGAGGTTCATCCCTACGCCTGGCCCCTTGAGCAAACCAAAGCCTTCCTGCGCACCGCAGTGTCTTTTCTGTCCCACCCTTTGGCCCCTCCGTTTCCTTCATGGCTTCACACAGTTTGTGTTGTACATTCATCAGAATTCACATTGACTGCAAAACATAAATGCAACAAAAACATAAAAGCCTCCAAGTAGTATATTATATATATTTTGTTCTTCTAAATGCTCTTCTGTCATTGTCAGAGGTGCAGTAGCTAATTTATAACTTTTCCTTTGAGGGAATCCAGATGAAAGGCCCAGATTGCTCTTCAATAACAAGCTTGCATTGGTTATATATATCTTCTAAGGTGTCTCCTTGGACAATAGCTAAAAGAAAAGCAAACACATGCATAGTTAGGAATCAATCATCCAGCACACAGCAGAAGCTCAAATCTGTGACAGACAAACTCATCAGAAAGCTTAACATTACTTTTCACTAATAGGACAATGCAGAAAATTCACCTAAACAAAGTCACATCAATGTTGAAATAAATGCTTTCAAGGCAGGTTCTGGATCAGCAATAAACGCACCACAGTCTTTCTACTTTCTACCTGTTTGTCTGTTGTTCTGGACAATGAATCAGTCATTTATTTACATTTTATGTGTGTCTACTGTGGGCCAGACCCTGAGCTCGGCATTAGTTAACCTCCTCAACCCCCAAACCTTTAAAAGGACATCCCATTCATTCTCCAAGTAATCTGGTAAAATAAAATTTTACCCTGTATATTCATATTGGGAATATCTTAATACCATAAGTACCTGTAAGAAACATAAATAGGAGGAAACAAACAAACTGTTAAACTGTGTATTACCTAAAATACAAAGTCACTTAGAGTAGATGTAAGTGTGTGTATATATATTTTTCCATTTCAGGTAGGGGCTTTATTGCATATGATCCCTCATGATATAAATCTATTTTATATAATTCCATCTGATACCCATATTGTGGTAAGGTTTAATTTTTGTCATAGAATTTGATCTAAGTATCTTTTATTATCTCCTTTGAACAAAAGCTATCTTGTAGCTAGATCTCTAAGACATGTCAGTACTACCCTTATGACAGTAGGACTTAGAAATAAATTGCTACTGAGACATGGTTTAGATTTTCAAAAACAGTCTTCAGAACATACTGATTACTATATTTTACTCCTGAATCTAAGCCACTGCCAAATATACATTGTTTTGATTTGATGGTCCTACCTCTATGCTCTTTTAGAATAAAATATAACTCATATCTTTGTTATTGATAGAAATTTTACTTAAGATTACCCAATTCAACATATTTGCATACTGCCACGCCACTGGTATTTTTCTATTCTGAGCAAGGTAAAAAATAAAATATCTAACTTCACATAAGGTAAGTCAGGAGGAAAGTTCTTGTTTTCACACTATCAGTTGTAAGGCAAATTCCACAAATGCTGCTCACTCTTTGGATTTGATCAGTGTTCCATGAAAATACATGAGAGAGAATCCAGGATACCCAAGACAAGAAAATCTTCCTTCCTCAAACTTCATGTTTCCAAGGAAATATTTGAAAAGAAATGTTTTGCTCGACAGGGAATTAATCGAAACACAAAGAAGTATTTCAAGACCCTCGTTCACATGTTCTAATGGGAGACAGACCTCCAGGTCATTGAAACTGAGGGTGCAGGCCCCGCGATTGCTTCTTAAGAGTGGCTGCTTTGGATCCTGCACATTCTGAGTCCTCAAAATTTCTTTCTCAAGTTTCATGCTGATATCAGGGAATAGTTTAATGAAGTATCAATGCCTAAACTCTCCTTAATAGCAGGAGGTAGCTCAGTGGCATCTGGTGTCCCTGGTTTTGGATGGGGCCGCTGGGAACCTGGAAGCTGGCTGCAGCTGCATTCAGAGCAGGGAGAACCCAGAGTCCGAAGCACATGGGTAAAGCAGAGGGGAGCCAGGGATTCTTGGCAGAAAGGTTTTAGGACCCAGGTATCCCAGGCCCTCCTTTATGCCAAATGCCAGGCAATTAATGTCCTTTATCACAGTTCAAGGGTAAATAAACTTACCTGTACTAGACTTATCATGGTGATCACTTTGTAAGTTATATAAATGTCTAGTCACTATGTTGCACACTTGAAACTAATATAATATTGTACAGGGCGGGGCAAAAGCAGGTTTACAGTTGTGAGCACATGAAACACAGAGTTTAGTCTTATATTATTATTTATTAATTATTGTATAATACTTCCATAAGAATAACTGTAAACCTACTTTTGCTCCACCCTGTATGTCAACAGTAATTGGAAAAAAAATTTAAAAAAAAAGAACTTACCTGTAAAATACTCTCCAAATTCTTGTTCTAGTTTAATTGCACGATCGTAGGTTTTCTTGGCCTGTTCCTCTGTTAGGCGCTTGTTCATCTCCCTGGGAAAATGAGGGTTTAGTATTAGAAAGCACAGGGACTATCCAAACCCTGAAAAATGAAATGTCTGGCACAAGTGGATCCTGCAGGAAGCCTAGTGTAATCTTAGCGGCAGCTTCCTAGTCTTCATTTGGGAGTCCTCTTTGCTGGAATAATTTTAGCAGCGAGGACTCCCCCCAGGAGCTCACTCTCTCAGTGGGCAGTCTCTCGGTCCCATGTTGGGTGGACACAGAGTCTGTCTGCTTTTGATTCCTGGTCCCTGTTCTGCCCTCTGCAGTCCCACAGGGTAGGCCTAAACTTCCTCCACGACAGGCAGCAGGGTATTGACATCAAGCCCTCATGTGTGCCTTGGGGTATCCACTCCTTCAGAATAAACTGTCTTACTATCGTCTATTCTCTCCTTGGACACGATTTCCGAATCCTAATCGTCCTGGTCCCCTTTCCTTGGACTTTATTTTAGTCTCTCTTGACCTCTCTTAAACGTGGAATTGAACAAAATCTTCCAGAGGTGGTCAGAGGGAGGAGAGAGAGGGCCAGAAGGGAAGGTGTATCACGGTATTTTGGACTTCATTACATCTGAGAGAACATGACTTGACTGTTCTCAGGTCCTGACCCCTCAGAAGGCTTTGACCTCTAGACTCCTCCATTCTTCCCAAGGGCTGCTGCTTGTCTTCAACGTGCATGTGGAGTGGAGAAACAGAGAGTGCTTCCAAAGAATTATACAAGGGGTGACAATCCCCTTAGGCATGTCTATCTTTTTTTAAATCCTCACCCAAGGACATGCTGAGAGAGAGAGAGACAGAGAGAGAGAGAGAGAGAGAGAGAGAGAGATTGGTTGCCTTCTGTAGGTGCCCTGACCNGAGAGAGAGAGAGAGAGAGAGAGAGAGAGAGAGAGATTGGCTGCCTTCTGTAGGTGCCCTGACTGGGAA